TAAAATATATTTTATAGGATCTCAAGAAAGTCGATGCCCCAAAACTATTATCTATATATATTTAAATTCATTATGGAGCCGTTGTACGGTTTGTCCGCACAACCCTCTGCTGTGATAATGATAACAACTCCGATAGTGATTAATTGTTTATTGATAGGAGTATGCTGATTATGATTATTTATATGATAACAATGACATTATGCGAGTACGCGACGCCTTGCGGATGGCGGTACACGAACTGAACGAAAATGAATGACTTTGACGTAAAATGCATCGGTCTGCAATATTATGTGCGCGCTGGCCCTGTACGATACATGACTCGTACATATTCCCGGGCGAGAGAGATGTGAGTGGATGATGATCATGAGTTTACAAAAAAATGCTTAAATGCTAATAAACTTATAAATTTCACTCAAGTTACAATGCATAACTTAAATCTATGCTTAAACATAATCTGAGTCAGTCACTGTCAGTAGACACTGGTTTGGTAAGCACTGGAGGTGTTTTCTCGTGCCGCTTTATGCTGCTGAATATGCTATTAAAATTCCTCAATTCAACGGTCTCTTCTCGCGACTGATGATTTGCGTCTCTTGTGTGTGGCGTCGTACCGACGACGGAGGTGGCAAACCCTCTGCGCGCCGGCACCTTTGGAGGCTGCATCTCGGAGTCCGACTCTAAGTCGGCGCTCCTCTGCCGACGACGATAAAACCACCGACAAAGGAAAACTATTACTGTCAACACAGCACCCAAAACCAACACGTAGATTACTGAATATTGATGTATGTCATGGCTTGATATTTCAGAGTACAAAGCCTTTTCTGCCTTCATCTCCTCAATCTGTTCCTTAATGTGCCGAAATGAAGCTTGGTGATCGGTGATGTTGAATTCAAGTTCTGGCACAGAGACGTTGATGATGTGATTGATCGGTGCTATTTGCTGTGATTCCAAGTCAGTCGCAGTTTTAACCTCTGAGTGTAGTGGTTTATGTGAAAAAACGGTGAAGTCTTCGCCTTTAATTACGCAATCAGAATCCAGTGTAATGACCCCGGCTTTAGCGACTTGTATTGCAGTAATCTGATGCTCACATATGACGCGCAGTGCACATTGCCCGCAACAATAATAAAGGTAAGTATTTGTTCTACTCAACTCCATCCAATTATTGCGGCACGCTGCAGTGCTTGTAAGACACCTGTTGGTGCTCTTATCTTTGATGCACATGCTGTCTTCTGACTTAAATTGAAAAATAGGTTTTCGAGAGTGACAGAGACGAGTTAAGTCATCGTACTGGACACAATGTTGTATGTCTCTTGCCGACATTGCTAAGTAAGTATCTTTGCGTAAATTTATTGCGATGTAATCTGATACCGGCACGACGACGACTGTGGCGTTTCCATGTTGTTGTGGTATTGATATCAATTGATATAAGTCATAACTCTCCCTGCTGACAAGTGGTATTCTGATTTCAAATATAAGGTACTGTTGTGTTACCCTTGCTTTGACCTTCAGAAGATGATAAATTTTGGGTAGTTCCGACTGTATGTTTTCCATCGGTAAGGATAGCTCTCGCGATAATTGTCCCGAAATAATGCGGAGTTGATCTTGTAATTGCTTCGGCGATAGTAAATGGACATTGAATAATCCATGATGGATATCTGTTATCGTGTCGATTATTGTATCTTGTATCGATTTTAGCTTCGCGAGCATATTTGTAGCTATGATTGTGGAGAGTGCTAGCTCGTTCATCACTTCTTGTTCCTGCAGATTTTTGTTCAAAATGTTAGTGGCCTTCGTTAAATTGTTTAAATGTTGATTAATTACTTTGTGTTGCCGATTGATCGATTCCTCAGTTCTTTTGAGTAAATTATATTCCGCTTCTACAACTGAGGTCTGATTTTTCCACAGGAGTCCTAAGTGTTCTTCATTTCTTTTTATAAGAGAAATATCCTGCTTGTATTGATCGGCGAAACGTTGATCCAAAACTCCAAATAAACTGTTAGCAACATAGCCCACACCGTCGATGAGGCCTCGTCTCTTCCGTGTGCGTTCTTCGACATGCTGATTCATTAACATTTCGTTGTAGTACTTTAGTTCGTCATGAGCATGACGTAGTTGTAGTATGATAATGTCACATAGTGCCTTGTTTGTCTCTCTTTCGCACACGTTGGTTATTTGTTGAAGGTATTTCTTGAAGGTTTCTGAACCGTCCCAATAAGGGCTCATGTCGTGATACACGATGAGTTTCCATTCATCTTGTATAAATTGCACGCTCGAGATTCGGTCAAAATATAGTGCTTTGTGAATCGTTGTCAAACTATATGGAGATGTTGGTTGCTGGTGGCCAAAAACTGACGTCATAAAAAGGAATAGTGTAATGAGAGTTGCTATCAAATTTGACACCGTTCCAGGTCGAAATTTTGATAGGTCATCCTTCTTCTTGATTGTTTGTTTGTCTGATATCTTCCCTGCCTGATCGGTTGCTTTCGGGTTAGATACCAACACTGATAGTTTAATCACTGGGCGCTTGATATACCCAGTTTTTGTTTTCAGGGTAACTACCCGGACCAGTCCATCGGAGCCGGGATGAAGCTCAGTGACTCTGCCTAGAGCCCATCTTCCTGCGGGAAGGTTAGGCTCATGAATGATGACGACGTCATCAACTCGTACATTTTCATGAGGTCTTTGCCATTTGCTCCTCGTTGAGAGTTGAGCGAGATATTCGGATTGCCACCTCTTCCAAATGTCTTCAAAAGTTTTCTGAGTTCTCTTCCATCTGGTTCTTTCATCTTGTTCCGTATCCAAGATGGTCAATATGGGACCGCTACTTAGAAAATGTGAGGGCGTCAGATAATTCAAGTCATCTGGGTCTTCTGTAATTGTGCACAGCGGTCGACTATTAAGACATGCTTCGAGTTGGGCCAGTAATGTGCTATATTCCTCAAACGTGAGTTTTTGTTCACCAACCACACGTCGAAGATGATGTTTTAGGCTTTTAACAGCTGCTTCCCATAAGCCTCCAGCACTGGGCCAGGCGGGGGCGTTAAAATGCCACTGAATTCCCATCTCATTAATCTCTGTATAGAACCCGTCGTTAAACGTTTTACGTAGTTCTGCTTGTTCTTGCTGTAGTGCCTTATTGGCACCAACAAAATTGGTGCCATTATCACTGTAAATATGATGCGGCTTACCCCGGCGTGCAGACATGCGTTTTAGGGCAGCCAAAAATGCTGTTGAGCTTAGGTCTGATACGAGCTCGAGTTGCACAGCTTTTGTCACCATGCACACGAACACTGCAATGTATCCTTTGCTTGTTTTAACACCTCGCCCTTTATTGAGTTTCACGTCAACGTATCCTATGTAGTCTACGCCAGTGTGGTGAAAAGGACGCGAAGAATTGCTTCGGGGTGCAGGTAAATCCCCCATCATTTGTTTTTGATTAATTGCCTTATGCTTTTTACACGTAATGCATGTAAGCAAACGCTTCCTCACAGCTCTGTTTCCGCCTAATATCCAATAGCTCTGTCTGATGTGTGCGAGCGTCATCCGAGCCCCCGCATGAAACGTGCAGCGGTGGGCTTGGTCGATAATAAGGTCAGTAATGTAGCTGCTGTGTGGTATGATCAGTGGATGTTTCATTTCTTCGTCTATGTTTGCGTGCTTCAGTCTGCCTCCTACTCTCAATAGGCCGTCCTTGTCCAAGAACGGGTTGAGGCATAAAGTTTTACTTTTGCTATTTACTAGCTCCTGTTTTCGTAGACTATTAATCTCTTCAGAAAATTCCGCTTCTTGAACGTATTTAATAATCATATGTTTTGCCGTGTCCAATTCTTTCGCATGCAAGTAACCAGAGTGATTGTGCTGACGTCGCGTCACACGTAACACCCAGGCAAGTATCCGTACGGCGCGTGCTATATCGCTGTTTCTTTGTAGTATGTATTGAATGACATCATCGCTATGATGTCGAACTATGACGTTGCTCTGTTTTATTTTTCGCTCCTCTTGATCCGTGACGTAGATGGACTTCTCTGCTCCCAATGACTCATCGAATCCAGGCAGAAATTGAGGGCCGTTCCACCACAGGTGATGTTGATTCAATTGTGCTGTTGTGATACCACGGCTGGCGCAATCAGCTGGGTTGTCAGCTGATTTTATGTAATACCAATGGTCTGATACTATGACATCTTTGATTTGTTTGACTCTATTCGCCACAAATGGTGTCCAGCGGTTGATATCGCCTTGAATCCAGCCGAGAACTGCTGTTGAGTCACTCCAACCGTATACTTTGATCTCGCGTCCGTGGAGGGCTTGAACTATTTTTTGTATAAGTGATGTAGGTGTTTCTACTATATTTATGTATATTAGTTCATATTATTTATTAATTTACATTGTACACCTACGCATTATTTAATATTATATCATATTTAATTACGTATTCTATAACACACTCTCATACAGTACACAAATACGCTAAACAATCATACATTCACAACACTACTCAAAATTATATTATTTACACAAGCATAGTCGGGCGTAACTGCTAGTATGCAGCAAAGACCCCGACTATGTATAACTACGTACGTACTGGTCGTCGCCTCCGCCACGACTCGGCCGCCGCTCGCGGCCAGTCGGGTTTGATCAACGCTACGCTAAGACTGTGTCACTCCTCGACTTACGCGTACTCTGTTGCTTCGTTACGATTTATTGCTTTCATCTATTTTGTATTATTGTGTTTGAACTTGCTACTGCTTTATCTGTGCCTTCTGTACTCCGTAATTTCTCCTTCTAAATATTGTTATACCGTCTATAATTGGAAATAAACTGTCCATCCAATTACGGACTCGTTATTGTGCCGCCCGGCACTGGTGACCTTACCACCACCAAAACGACGACAACCAAACTGGTGACCCACGACTACGAGCACCCCGGAGAAACAGATGTTAGAATCCAGCGGATCGGACACGGCGCGCTCGCAGGTAACTACACGACCACGTCGACACGTCAAGATGGCGTCGCCTGTCGAGCCAGCGTGCCCGAATGCAGAACTACCCTCAACACACATCAGGATACCACCGTTCTGGCCTGAAAAACCCGCAATATGGTTTGCGCAAGTGGAAGGACAATTTGCCATCATGCGAGTGACTGACGAGACGGCAAAATTTTATCATATATTGGCCAGTCTCGATCGCCAATATGCCGCCGAGGTAGAAGACGTGCTCACCGGTCCTCCCGATTACCAGCGGCTTAAAAAGGAGCTGATAAAAAGGTTGTCGGCGTCCCGCAGTAACAAGGTGAAGCAGCTATTGACGCACGAGCAGCTCGGTACACGCAAACCGTCACAATTCCTGCGTCACCTACAACACCTCGCCGGACCGGAGATCCCGGAGGACTTCCTGCGGACTATATGGACCAGCCGGCTACCAACCACGTTGCAGCCGATCGTCGCGTCGCAGTCGACGCTTCCATTGGACGCACTCGCCGAGCTCGCCGACCGTGTCCACGAGATCGCAGCCCCAGTACACCACGTTGCGGCAGCCGTGACGTCATCATCATCATCGTCATCACAAATCGACAGGCTGTCCCAACAAGTAGCGGAGCTGACGCGGCAAGTCAGCGCCCTGACGACGCAGGTGCATCATCAACCGCGGCCGCAGGAGCGCGGGCGCGAACGTGGACGTCAACGACAACGCAGCCACTCATCATCACGCCGGTCGCAGTCACACTACCGCAGGTACCCCATTTGCTGGTACCACAGCAAACACGGTGCCGAGGCGCGGAAGTGCGTGCGACCCTGCGACTACAAGGCGGGAAACCCGACAAGCAGGCAAGTGATGGCGACTGACGACTGCCACAACTCTACGGGTCGCCTCTTCATCAAGGACCGCAGCAATAATATAGACTTCCTCATAGACACTGGAAGTGACATTTGTGTTTACCCTATTCATAAGTTGTGTGAACGCGTGCTAAAACTAGTTATCAGCTCAGTGCTGCCAATGGTACAGTTATAGATACTTATGGTTATACGCAATTAAATGTTAATTTAGGCTTACGCCGCAACTTTCCATGGCGCTTTGTTGTTGCTGACGTCACAAAGCCATTATAGGCGTCGATTTTTTGTCTCATTATCGACTCATAGTGGACGTCAGCCAACAAAGATTAATCGATAGTCTTACCAATATGAGCACTGTAGCCAGTCTAGATGTAAATAATAATCGTGTTACTAGTGTTAAGATAATGACAGGTGGCGACAGTAAGTACCACGCTATCTTGGCTGAATACCCGGAGCTAACACGCCCAGCTGGTACTCCAGGTATTGTCAAACACAACACGAAACACTACATACGCACTACACCAGGTCCACCCGTAGCATGCTCACCCCTCGTCGTCTCGCG